AAAAAAAGAACAAAAACTGTTCATTTATAAAATGTTTTCTTTCTTTAAATTTTATTTCTTAAACTGTTACAAAAAGATTTCCAAACATGCATTATTCCATTGGCTGAGAAATTGCATCTATACATGAACAAATAAATTATCTAACTATACCTAGTTTTATGATTCTTACGAGGTACTGAATAATGATTTTAAATAAAAATAATTATTTAATTAACATTACCGGTCATGCTCAATACATCAATAAAAAAGGATATTACTTAATAACACAACCTTATGCGGGTAGTAGGCTACCGGGACTTATATATATTTACTGACAACTCTTCTGAAATTACGGACATAAGAAAACGCACTTTGATAAATCATACTTCCTAGGGGCACTTTCTTGCTATGGAGCTCTCTTTCCAAAACTTTATAAGTTTTGCCAAGATCAATTAACCTTTTTACGTGTATTCTTTTTGAGGCAACTCGTCTATCTTTAGGGGCCTAATTACTGTTCCTGGGTCAAGTTGTAACTGACCCTTTAACATGGAAGGTGTGTTGACATGGGCAACCCTTCACTTCAAACGAAGCCCTGAATCCTCAAGAAAATTATGCCCACCTTGCCGACTTTGACATTCAGGTACACAACAATACTGAGGCATGTTTATTAAGGCCAGTACCACAGTCCAACGTATACAATATCCAACATGGCGACCTAGGAAGGACTGAATTCACACTAGCGACACCTGGCGCCAAGCGGGCTGGTATTCCCCATTCATAATCGGATCCATGGAAGGTTCTTATGAGACCGGTAGCAAACTAGTAGCAGTAAAGTGCTATTGTTCACCTTTACATACTTAAACTATAAATTATAACATTTTTTAAACAATCAAAATTGGTAAAAATAGCAAAAGTTTATAATACCGCTATAATAATTATATATCATGGATGTTTCTGTATAAATAAGTTCCGTATTAAAACTCACGTCGTCTCATAGCGTTGTTTCATTTTCTACAATCTCTTGCATGCTTTTAAAGCACATTGGACTGTGTGACTGTCCATTCTTGGCGACGATTCTTTTCGCTTTCTCTTCACGCACCTGTCGTGAGCAGAAGACACTGTAGATGGCGCTTTTGGAAGCGACGTCAAAAAAAAAATGGAATAGAGGCGTGTGTTACTTAACTGCTCTACTCTGGACATCAGATCCAATCGGTCCCTCAATTACATTAGCACATACCAAGAAATTAGACAATTAATTTCCAATTCCTTCTACAAAGTTTGCTGTTATTTTGGACCTGAGCTTTAAACTGCCCCAAATCCCCTGATAAGCAATCTACGGGGAAAAAAAGCCCCCCCCCCCCCACCCCCCCCATATTATCACGTGCAGCGCGCGCGCGGCCAATAAAACATTTTATGGTGGAATGTTCTCTATGCTGGGTTAGCCTATATCTCTCTATATCCCGAAATACTTATTCTCCGATTTATTTATTTTATTTTATTTTATTTTATTTTATTTTATTTTATTTTATTTTATTTTATTTTGAAACCCAGTAAAACGAAGGTCTTTCTTTTCTTTCTCGTATTCTGAACTAATTTTTTTCTGCGGTTGAAAAATTACCTTTACTCCGATATTTCATTAACATAAAGCGAAGCTTCATTGCTCCAAAAGTTTACTAGACGAACAAAACTGTCACCTGTTGGAAGGTCTATTGGCCCGAAATTATAATCTCCCATTCTCCCTTTTCCCCCCTCCTTAGAGATTCTTATTAATGCTTTTACCACCGCACATGAAAAATGCAATACCGATTTATCATTGCTCAAAAAGACAAGTACTAGGGCCTAAAGCCGCAGAAGAACTCGTGTAGAGTGTCGCAGAGATATTCAGAATCAGACTGACAGCCACATCTGTAGGCCCTATTGAATATAATTAAAATAATGAAAACATTAAGGAGGATAATGACCATCTTGCTGCTAAATCGGTAAAATGATAAGATCACGTTCAAAATCGGTAACTAATTCAGGTGGCACTGACCAAACACAGGTGTCAATTGTCACTGACCAAACACGAATGTCACCTTATAAAGTTGTAAGCTTTATTAGGCCTAAATCAAAATGTGCTTCGTTATTTAAACAAGAGAAACATCTGATAACAAAAGCATCTCAATTTAGGCAGAGGTATCTACATGTATACTGATTTTCGAAAATGTCCCTGTCTTTGCACTTTTTTATTCCAAAAAGTTTCTCTCCAACTTCTTGTTTATTCCGAGTATGAGTAATCAAATTTGACTCGAGAACGGACAAACTGTCGTGCAGAGTGCAATACAAGGACTCAGTTCGCTGTTCCTGTGGCGTCCTATATTAGACCTGACTTCTTAACACATGGAGGTAGTGGTGGGGGAAACAACAAACATCTGGTGTTAATCACAATTTCTTATTTCCAGATATAAGTTCGTGATTTATATAATAATTTACCCTTCTGCGTCCAACCTGTATAGTAAAGATTCTACAATGTACTCCAAATTAAGTGAGGAAAATACTGTCTAAAGAGTTATCCCAATTAGCATTACATCTTTGCACATGTAATGCTAATTGTCTTTGTGATTTTACACATCATGTTAAGCCTGCACAAAACTCACTAAAAATTAAATATAGCATCCCAATTTGTCCATTTTCTCTTTTTTATTACCTTATTAGTAAGGCATATAAACAATAACATATATCAATAAATGGTAATAAAAATTAGGTGATTATCGTGGCAAGTTAATATATGGAATCTGGTATCAGGTATCCAATAGATCTTTTCATGTGGGGGTGGGGGATGGGATGGCTAGTTGCTCATGTATATAACTCTTTAACTAGTATTTTCCTAAGTTCAAATTGAGGTTTTAACTTTAAAAAAAGGAGAACGGCAAAGAACCGGAACTATTTGGTTTAAACAGGAACCATATCTGGTTCTAACTGGATCCTTATGACTGGCACCTCAGATGCTGCCATATCTGTAACAGAATCAGTCATCTGTAGGACTAATTTACGGATTTAAATACAGTGTATGTGCATATATTCCTCATACACCGTTCATACAAATTATGTAGCGTTCGTAGATTCAGTAACTGAGGTACCGTACGTGTATCTCACTAAATGAGCCAGGGCAGAACACTATACAATGGGACGAGTTCAGAAGAAGATTTTAACTTTTTTCTGTACCATCCTTTCTTTCTTTCTTTTTTAATTTCATTTCTTCTTTCTTACTAAGGCATAATGACGTCATAATTAGTCTATAATGACATGTAGTCAATCAAAACAAAGGTAACGACTGCAAAACTTCCACTCCTCGATAGGGAAGTCCTAGTTCTCGACCTTTCTTTGTTTCCTTGTCCAGAAACCGTGGCACGCTTCAAAAGCAGCCCTTCACGTGATAGAGGCTACAGGCGATACCAGCGCGATATAAAAAGACCTTGAGCAGCAATCCTCGTCATTTGGAGATAGCCTGCCGAGCAGCCAAAACTTTTGTCTTAGAGCTGTACTGGGTGACAGGGAAACATCTCCCAGTATCAAGAAGTACCTGCTAGTACTCTGAAAAGGTCCACGATGAAGTACATAATAGTGCTGGTTTTGTTGATCGGTAAGTGTAGTTCACAACTTCTGAAAAAACTTGGGTGTATTGCAGTAGTTTGAATCGGTGAGATGTGAAAGGTGTTCACGAGATAATGATTTCAAACTCAAAATTGTGAAAAGCAATTTTAGTGGTAGATGAAGTTTGATGAAAAATGACCGAAAGAGTTGCACTGGTATCATATATGTTTCTCTCTTTCCCTCAATTTGATCCTACGGCGAATGATTAATAAACTAAATTTCAATTTGTGCATAAGTTCAGCTCTGTATTTAGTCTAATAAGATGAATAGTGTATCTAAATCAGTTTTTTTTATTGTGATTCGGTCGTTTTCTTTGTGTACTCAGTCTATAAAAGGTAGAACGATTTTTAAGTAAGAAAATGTTTACTGCCTGTTAAGACTGTTCTGCATTTGCACCAACATGCAGTCACTGCCAATATTGAAGCATACCATGAAATAACTACATGTAAAGTAGTGTGTAATACGTATCCTAAAACGTCAGTTAGCAGTGCCGGTATTTTTATATAAATGACACGACCTTCTTTGTGAATAACATTTAGTTATCCTGTTCATTGAACGTGTTTAATCGATTTAATTATTAGATTTTTTGTTAATATTTTAAGTCGCTACAGTGAAGTTATTATGCAGTGTTAAATGTACGAATTACACTTTTAGACAGGAGAGACTAAAGAATTCTATAGCGTTGTTTTGAACGCAACCAAGGATGTTATATATCTATGTAGTTACAACAGCTGTTCTGTTGTAGCGGTGACTGATTACGCTTGCTTGTGAAGTAAAAAGAGGATAAAGAACTGTTAGCTATGTGTCGCTTGCAGCTTTCAATAACACACCCTCTAATATTAGGGGTCTCTAAAATAGTATACAAAATTAAAGTATATGCGACACAATCATTTTGTAACGGACCAGAAGCGCACCAAGTGGTCAGAGAGTAGGCCCCTACTAGTAACATCAGGTAACATGGGATCTTTGTTTGTATTCATGGCATGCACGGTCTTAGACCTTGGGTCTGTTAATTTGTGCGGGTGTCACATCCTAACTGGGCGGCTTGGTCAAATAAGGCAGGTATAACCTACACGTTGTTTTTGTCGGTAAAACTATGTACAAAAAAGTAGAGGAAATATAGGAGAAAATTTTGGTGAAATGATTGGTTGTCTGAAAAAAAATTTTTTTTCACTTTCTTCAAAACTGTCAGTACATGGAATCTTGTTTACTGACTTCTTTGTATTTCGGTAACTTATGAAGTTTCGATAAAATTGATTAAACAAACAATCCAAAAATACCTTATTCGTCCTTCAGTGTTTTGCTTTTAAATGGAAAATTCGCAATGGAAAACTTCCAACTGCTGCAGAGTTTCCTCTTACGTACGTTCTATTTACATTCCCCGCGGCGATTGAATTATCTCGTGCCAAATGTACTGAAGGAACACGCCAAGAAACTCCTGATTCAAACCAGGCTTCTTTTATAAACCTAGGTGCCCAGATATATCTTATTTCCCGCATGCAACGCAAAGCAAATTTCGCAAGATTCCTAATTCAAAACACCTTCTCCAAATTATATAATTTATAAATAGAATCATACAAGTAAATGAAAGCACCGATCTTTCTCCCATGAGCAGTCATCTTTGAGATCATTTTATATAAAAAATACTTAAAACAGATATGAGATATAAATTATACACTGGAATTTTTATTTCAACAGAAACCATAGTAGTGTTTTCGCACTGCGCAAGCACTTACAAAACAAAAATATCTTTTGAACTATTTCAACCTGTGTGTACATGTAGGCCTACTCCACTAGTAGAGATAACACTAAGCATGCCCATTTTACATAAGACTGGTTTATGTATAGGGTCTACTCGGTTTTAGGTAGGGGACAAATACCAGTACGCTCTGTTTGGAAAATAAATAAAAGTCTTCAGCTCAATTTCATCCTTTTTTCCCTTTTATTCCAGTTCTTGAAGTTGCCCTGGCCAGACGTCCCGGGGGCCCTCGAGGTCGCCATGGAGATGATGATGATAGCGAAGGTCAAGGCCGTCGAGGTAGACATGGCGGGAGGCGCGGCAATAGACAACATAAGCCGCGTGGCTTAACCTGTGCTAATATTACTGAGACTGATTGTGACACCTTGCCGCCAATGCGCCTGTGTGATGACACAGGGTCCTATACCAACTGGTAATTCGTTTAGTAATATTTTGCCTTTATCCCGACTCTAGGAAGCGTTCACAACCAGTTCACAACGTACGCACTTTGATCCCTGTCTCCCACGCACGCCGTCCCAGCAGGGGCAGAGCAATCAAATCTCGGCACGATATCAAGTGGTTCGTGCCGTATTTGATCCGCGGACTAGTTGCCCGCGGATCAACTGGTGCTTAGTGGTGCAGTAACACTCCCATTTTCCCTCCTCTGTAAATACATTGCCATCACCACAAGCTTCTGGGTATTTACATTGCCTCATATCTGTAACAGTTTACATGATCGTCACGCTGATCTTCAGGGTGCTTACAATAAACAATAACTCTGTTCGCCGCTGTTCATTTTAATAATCAATGTGATCCTGTTACACTTTAATGTCACCCTGGGTTTATAAATGATATTCAAGTTTTGATGAATAATGGAACGCACGTTTGTTTCTTATTACACCTAGACTTTATCGTATTGTTTTGTCTCTCAAGGTGCGACTACATGAAGAGAGTGAAGTGTCCCCAGGGACTGCGCGGTAAACCCGAGGGCCTTTTCCCCTGCGACGAGGCCGGGGCGCCAATCCCAAAGACGAATCTCGGCCGAAGGAGGCACCTGAAGCTCCAGGCCAAGTGCGCCCGTGTCGCCGAGGAGGACTGCTCCACCCATCCTGGGCCGAAAATATGTGACAGCTCCGATAACAGCACCTACGCTAACAAGTACGTACATACGCGGTTCTTCTTTTGATCAAGCCCATGTAAAAATTTTATGTGATAATATAAAAATCGATAAATTCCTCTGTCTACCTACATATTTATTTATTTATCTTTCTGTGCATCTTTTAATTAATAAATTTATTTATTTATTTATTCATTACTCATGGTCTTGTCTATTCATTTAATTATACATTCATTAAAACTTTCATAACATATTAATTTATATGAGTCCCTGACAAAAATTGAAATTTTGAAGCAAATTGACGCTCCATTTCAAAACCCTCATCCCTTTGCAGATGCGAGTTTCTGAAAGACAAGTGTCAAGACCTTTCAGCCGGTATTAACTTCGCAGCTATCTTCAAATGTGACGAGAACGGCAATCCTCTACCCGCACCTACCCGAGGGGGGCGTAGGCGATGTGGAAAACTGTGTAGACGGCGCCAGGGGCGTCAACCTGAGTAAACGTCATCAATAAGGAATAAGAATTATGACGCTATCACGAAAAGAAGCAGCGTTTACAACCTGTTAATCTGTCTTTGACGCATTACTTTTAATAACAATTCTAGCGAGACCAACACGTATGTGTATCATTGTTGCATGGGAATCAGCGGAGATAACCCCGAGTCTCGCAGCTTGGCGCAAAATCAAGCGAGATTTCGCGGCATTTGGAGGAGAGTGGGTTAGGAAACAATGGCAGGCCAGTTTCGTTTTATGTTATTTCTGATGATTCCCATTGAAAAGACTCCTTTTCTGTCTTAGCACAATGTGATCAAACATGTTGATAAATGTTGTAGTTTCATACTGTCTGTTCATTGGTCTTTGTACTGAAGTTAATGTTGTAAAATGGACATCCTTTTTCAACAGCACAGATACATTAGATCGCTTCCATTTAGATTTCATTCTCATTGAATAATGTTTAATCATTTATAAGTACTAACAAAAGTAAGTATGCCTTTTTCCTGTTTTTGTAAGAACTTCTCATGCACATTTCTTCCATAAATATCCATAATGTGATTTCTCGTAATAAAACACATGCGAAAATGCCTCTCCTGAGTTTTTTCCTCTTGGAGCATTATATCAGCTCTACATGCTTCATAAGCAAAGAAATACCTGTCATCTCAACATTGTACTTACGAGAAACGTTAACAAATTGTCTAGGTAATGAGGTTGTGAAAAAATTCCTAATTCGCACCGAAAAATCTGTTGACCCTGGCGTACAAACAACCATGGGAGTTGAATGGCGAGTTATAGGAGTTATTTTGACATTTTGTCCTGTTTTGTTTGTAAAGACAAAAAGTACACTCAAAATAATATGTGTACAGAGTAACTGCCGTACATATCTTTTACCTTTGTCCAAAATGTACCCACAAATTACGGGACAAGAGCTGGGATATTGTATGCCCCGGTTTTAGCGACATCTGGTGAGCGGTCCTTTCACACAATATTTTGAGTGAACTTGTCTTTACGGGTACTTCCATTTAGGTCTTTTTACATTGAACGCGTTGTTCAATTTTACGAGATAAAGGAACAATGAAAGCTTTGTTTTTTTGTGTTTATGGGAAAACCCCTGGTTATGTGACCATTGCGACAGGTTGGGAGGCAGTGCTCTGTCGCAATCAGGAATAGGAGAGCACCGCAAACGTTGTCTGCATATGGCTGAAAAGTGCTTTTTGTTGAAACTGATAAACACAGCCAATGCTCTCCTTGTCTCCTTCTCTTTCTCAAAAGATATCGAATAATTAACTTAGTTGCTGTGGAAACTGTTAGAAATCCGAAGTTTGTGTTGGGTGTTTATCGGAGTTCCACAATATTTTCCAATTTGCTTTTTATCAATTGTTTAATTAATCAATGAGAATTTCATTTATTTGTTATTTATTTTCGGTATGTTTTGAAAGCATGATGATCGCGCTGCATCTCCTGTAACAGTTTAAAAATGATAAAAAAAGAATTAGAGCAAAATGCTTCTTTAAGTTTAGACTTCGATCAGGATAAATTCTCCAAACTTGTGCGTTCAATGTTGTACCTCCTGGGGTTAATCTGAAAATACCAACATACGGTGCATTCCAAAAATTATCAGACAAACATGTCTATATTTCATACAGCCTTGTATAAACACGCGAGGAGAAAATGACACACTGTAACGTTTATCCGAAAATCCAGATTAAGAACTGCATTATCTCATCCACTTATTAAGATGGGAATTTTACGTGAACTCTGCTCTATACTGCAGTATTTCGTTTTGTAACATGTGCTCCTGATTTAAGTCACATATTTAATTAATTATTTAAAAATAAGTCCAATTAGCATTTATATGAATTTCACAGTGTCAGAAATTGAAATATAAATTTAAAAAAGCTATACAAACGCGTGACAAGAACTATACATTAACATGTGAACAGAGAAAAAATACGAAAAGAGGATGCGGGCTTGTCCGGGATTTCAATCCGGGACCTCTCGCACCCAAAGCGAAAATCATACCCCTAGACCAACGAGGCGCTATTAGAGTGTGGTGGTGTTTTATCGACTGCATCCAGGTATGACATGGGCCACTGTCACCAATGTTTCCACGCATGTGAAAAACCTGCAACACTGCAAGCCTATGCGCCTTTATTGAAGACACAGAGATAAGCCAGTGGACATAATCTACTTACTTCATTGTGTTGCGATGTTTGTTTGTCTGTCTGTTTGTTTGTTTTTTGTTTATTTCCTTTTCTTGTTTGCATCATTTTTTTTTTTTGGGGGGGGGGCAAATCCCCCC